ATGGACGCCTCTGACTGAGAAACAGTCAAAAGCTGGAATGTGGGTGTGTGTGTGTGTGGAATGCGATTGGTGACTCCTATGCTCGTGAAGTAATGGCTGAAGGCCTGGGCTGTGGCACAAGGACTTGCTATATCTAGAAAGCGCTGGTGAAGTGGCAACGACGAATCCCTAACTGCTTCTGAACTGGCTCAAGTGCTGATGATGAAGCCCTGAGCATCTCTAGAACTGGGTGAAGTGCCGACGACGAACCCCTAATTGCTTCTGAACTGGAACGAGCACCAACGATGAACTTCTAGGTGCTAGCGAGGCTACGGAGTATGATGGAAATGGAATCCTGGTTTGAGACTCGTGACTGGTGACGTGCGAGCAAAATGCAATGGCGTGAGATATGAGAATATGATAACGTGACTTATTTAGCTGAAACCTGAGTCGAGCTAGAGGCCATTGCTGAGAGTGCTGCCTCTCTCAGTATCAAGAGTCCCAAAGACATAGAACGTGATCGCAATAGATGTAGACGTAGTCGAGCACGATGCCCTAGCATAGACGAGATGTGAACTGAGTGCTGCTTGGTGGGGAACTTCGTATAAAACTTCCTTTTTTATTCCTATGTATAGTGTAGATTATATAGTGGATCAAAAATAAGCCAGCTGAGTCGCTGAAATGCGTTTCTGATCATACATTGTGTTTTTGATCCATTGAAACCTGTCGCAGAGCTCATCCCTGCCCCCTCTCCATATCATACATTCAGAAAACTGGAAGTTCAGCCCTGTCAGAGTCTGTCGGTCTGCTACCCTACCTTCCATTTAGTTAGTGCACTTGCTCATTTTTGAGTTGCCTAACCGGTCACGTTCTGCTCTCGCACTGCACCTGTAATCGACTATGCTTCCTCGTGGCTCGCTCATCATTTTCATGCCTCATGTTCACCTTTCAACCCCTTTATGTGGTCCCATGTTCCCAGGCTATCAGTAAAGTCTTTTTTGCCCACTCTGGACTGTTCCAGCTCAGTGTTTGTCTTTTCAGATCGTGGTGACTTGCTATCCGATTGTGCGATAGTTAGCCACAGTTTCTGATGTTTTTTAATTGCAGAATATCTCAGTGCGTATTATCGCATTTATGAAGCTGATCGCATTGGGAATACTTATCGATCATGCAATGTGAGGGTTGGTCATCTCAGCCATAGTGGGGTTTGAAAGGTCATGCAAACTTGTTGGGAGATTAATCTCAAGTCTCTTGTGGACTTTGTCGATGTTGTCTGTCTGTCACTGTTCATTGTGTGGCTGTCTGTCATGCCTACAACTGTTGTTGCTTTGCTGTGAAAGGCCGATGTATGTGATTATCTCTATGTTCTTCATTGACTTTGACTATTCTACATTCCCACTGCTGAACTATCCGAACTACTCTTAACTATTCTTCTCAAATCTCCTCATTTATACTCTGTATATCGTAGACAAATGTACATGCCATTGGTACTCTATCCTTTGTATATCATGAACTATCATACTTTCTCTCGTAACTCAATGCCCTCCTCCGAGTCACAAATGGTTAGATGCTTGTCGGTCTTATCCACCGGTCATTTGGACCCGGGCGTGTGAATGCAGCACTAACACCACCAAGTACTATCAATACAACAGAGGTGGGAACAGAGGCACAGCACGCACGACTCACAGGAGAGGGCATCAGGAACGGGGGACACAATGATGTAAGCCCTTTGTTCAACAAGGTTACTGATTATATAAGCATTTGCCATGTAAGAGTCAGTAAAAACCTGAATGACTTAGGTCATTCGGAACTTGAATGGCTAGTGCATGGCTACTTTGGCAGCAGACACGGTGCTGAAATCACTGCTCAGCGCCAGTCTGACCTTCAAAATCTCATCTATCTCCACACTGTAATGCGATGAATTATCAATTTCTGACTCACTTTCCTCAGTACGGTGCTTTCAGCTCACAGCGCTGCAGCTGAATCATCATCACCAATCAGGCAGAGCACAATGTCACTGGAAAGGCTCTGAGATAAAAAAATGTCAGAGTTTAAAAGTGTCACGCTGTCATGCCAGCTAAAGAGTCCCGGGAACAGATTTTTGTTCTAAATGGCCTACAGATGCCTGAAGCTGTCAGGCACTGGTCTCATAATTATGAGACTTCTCTATTCACTAACCTCTTTTCTGCGGTGGTGGGGTGTGAGTAAAGAGGTTCAGGTACGAGACCACCAAACACCAGGAGCAAGTACTTCCTATAAGATGCTGATCATTCTGCTTATAAGAGCCCTGAAACCATTATGATGGATGAGACTGCACAATCTTGCCAGGAGAATTTGTTCCAAGGCATACACGTGATGTAGGGCAGCCATTTAATTATACGATCCCGTGCAATATTGACTAAAAGTGTCAATGTCTGCGATGTATCAATTACAACTTGAAGGGTGCAGCCCTGTGCACAGATCCTTGGGTGATCTTTGCAAAGTGGTTGAAAGCTTTCAGTTGGTGTGAAATGCAAAGAGTCATCCATGAAGTCTTATAGCCATTTCAGGACCACTTTATCACTTCTCTGCATATGCATAACATGTCATCGTCGTGAATTCCCTTAAGGCCATTTCGGACCTCCTGAAGAGGCGATCTGCACTCTATGAGTTCCAGCCAGGGTGGTCTATAGTCGGCCTGACTAGTCTGAACAACTTAATACTCTTTGCGGACCCAGAAATTCAAAAAAGCTTGCACTATCGTATATCTCACTGTAAGTACTTCATCTCAAGACCATTGGGGCTCCTTACTGGAAGATGAAACCAGTGTGAAGTTGATCGACAGCCTCTCGCAAACTCCAGAGCAGTATCAACAGCACATCAAAAGGCTTGACATTACGAGACTTCTCTTCCCGTGTTGTCGCTGATGGGCCGTAGATATATGCACTCCTTCTTCTGACAGTTTGTGTATGGAGCGAAAGTTGCTGACACTCACCTGCAGCTTGCAGTGCAAGTGAATGAGTGGGTTCTGCAGTCTTTGGCACCTGGCCAGTGGATGAGGAACTGTTTTCACTTCTGTAAGGTGGAAGATTGAGGCTCTGAAGTCAGCAGTCGTGACAAAAATATGAACTCATCAGAAAGCCGTATAAACATCTGAATGTTCCTGTAAGCACTAAGATCCCTTGCTGAGTTTTCATGTGCAGAATGAACAACTATGAGTTGTGAGGCATGCTTGTTGACAGAATTGTTGGTGGCATTTTGCAAGAGGCAAGTCCGAGTTCAGTGAAGACATACTGCAAATTGCAATGTGCTGCCACGAGTACTCTCATAGGTATGTGGTCGGCCCATCATAATAAGTCCTCAACTAATTGCTCACATCTCACGTGAAGCCAGTACATCTTCTGTGAGTAACGTTTTACCTGCCTCTTCTTCTAGAGATCATGCTCAACCTCTCCAGATGCATACCTTGATAGTGCATTTCTTGCTCCAGTCCCTGTTCATACTAGTTCACTGAGCTTCCTGGGCAGTTTTTTTTCCCTCTATTACTCATATTATCCTCTCGCTTTATCAAGTGTTGTTGCATGTACAGTAATTTTGTTCGCCATGCAGAATGCTTTGATTCTTTTCACTGACCTGTACAACATCCATGATGTAACCTAGTCTGGCTGGATGTGAGGTGGTCAGAAGCCTGTTCACAGGTCAAGCACTGAGAATTGTGCGAAGCATATGAACAGTGGCATCAAGCAAATGAATTTGTCTGTAAGGGCACATGAGACTTCTGATACACTGACATAAGTATGGGACTATGGACAGATAACAATAGCTAAGGCAACGTCTAAGACTGTCTTGTCAAGCAACCGACACAAGGGTGGAAGATTCATACTTGACAGAAACATCATCAGACTCGTGATCTTTGTGTATAGTGGATGAGATATTGACCGCCAAAGGCCTCATCACGAATGACTGATCACTACTAGCTGATATGCCCGAATCAGCTACAGACATTGAAGTTGCAGCTGTTCCATTCTGAGCTCATTCTATGCCAACGCGTACATTGATGAGCATGAAGGATATCCCAGCGATGACACCCAATGTCTCGTTGGTCATGAACTGCAAGTTGGTTTGAGCCTCGTAAGTGATCAGGAAGAAGATAGTTCAGATCCTACACATATCTTAGATCACGAACATTGCTGGAGTGTGAAACTTACATGTAGAGCGCAGCGCTTTTGACAACTATAGCCATGACAGACTGAATGGGTTGAAGGATTAGGAGAATATCCCAAAGCCAAGGGTATACATACCATCAGACTGCTATGTCTATACCCTAAGATAGCTGAATTTAATTTCCAAATACACCATGCGATCATAACTGAAGACGACCATTATAAATCATCATTAGCAGAAATTCTCAGTCCACAGTTAACAACTTACCTGTGCTGTACACATTGGTGCTGTCCCATTTATGAACCTTGTCAGTGTAAGACTTTGGAACAATCATATATCTCATGTACCAAAGCATGAACACACAGTTGCTGGTCAGCCAGCGACCCAGAACATTAACGAAGACTTCTTCGCCTAGTTGGAATGTCGTCATCTGATACATGGTACCAACACCGCAGACTACTATGACTTTAGTTCTTGTGCCTCAGCACATGAATGGCTTCTCTTACCGGTCAAGCCAACAAGTGTGCAGAGCAGAAATATGACTACTTGTTTGTTATATGCCCACATAATCCAAAGGCAGTATATCTGCACACACAGCCTGTCAGTCAGTCTGAAAAACATTAAACAGTGTTAACGGACAATCATTGCATCGTTGACTATGATTGTAAATATTAGTGCAGCAGTTTGAACAACTTCTGTTGGCTGCAATAGATTGGCGTAAAATTCAAATGATGCATTGCTGCCTTTATAGTATATGAAAGCCTCAAACAGCTGTGCCATGACCACCATAGAGTGCTATCAGTCATCTTCAGTCAAATCATAGCAAATCATATTAGAAAAAGCAACTGACAATAGTGATGGAGAGGAATATAAGCACGATGGCGACCAAGAAGATTGTGATTGATGTCCGAGATGAAGAGTCTGACTGGCTTTGTCCTCCATGCTCCCATGCTCTGAGTCTCAAACCTTTCTGTCATCGGTATAATAGATAGAAAGAAACTGTAGGGAGAGTAAAGAAGATGCTGTAGAACAAAACTTCTACGCAGAGTGTTGCAAGGTCTGCAGGTATGAAACTGATCTCTCCCATTGAAAATGCTACTAGTAGATCTGGATGAAAAATAGGAATGGTGTCCTGTGATCGCCCAACATCCATTAACATAATATGCACTCAGGCGTGTGACTTCTGAGAAAAGGAGGCTGTGTATCAACACTATGATCATTGATGAAGGGCAGTGATGCATTTGGTTGAGCACAGCGTGCTTCACTTGACAGATTGCATGATGAGAATTATGCTGCAGACGCGCTTGAGCCTTGTCAGAGATTTTTGCCACAAAGTCCACACGTGACTTTTCTCATGCCACAGATCATGTGCTTCACCAATATCTCATGCCACTCAGCCACAAACATGACACGTTGAGATCAGGTGATAGTCCACATCACATGTTATGGTCCAGACCCGCAGATGATACGGTCAGACCTGTCTATTTTAGAGAACAATAGAGGCACCCATTTGAGAACAAAGGAAACAAGGACTATTGTTAGGGATCATCTAGGCAATCAGCTCAAGGAATAGTCATTACCATGATAGGATGGATCATCTCACTGTTATTACAGATGAAGACAGATCTTCTCACCTATTGTTCTACTTATGGATAGATCTTCTCACTTATTGTTCCACATATAGCTTAGTCGCCTAGATATGTAGATAGCCAATCATCCATTTTGTAGTAGTGGTACGATGAAGGTTATGTAATCAGGCTCCTGTACATGTATATGAGACCAGCCATGTAGAGGACGAAACTTCAGATTGTTTCTCCTCATCTATCACTGTAGCGACCACTGAGCTTACCAGCTCCAGCATATATCTATCAAAACTTCCATATGCTTGCTACACAGCTAGTAAGTGTTAGGCTCTTTAGCCACTTTAGAGATCAGGGGCAATAGGGCGGCATGTTCCACGTGGCCATTTTCTTTTTTAGTCTTGTTGATCTCTTGTCCAGCGTCGCTGTGACATTAAAAACAATCTGACAATTTTCTGTGCCCCTGCTTAGTGTCTAACATAAGTGGCCACATATTTTCAGTGCAAGCAGTTTCAGCTGTAGCGTGCGGCTTTTTTGACACACATGCCAATTCGATCTCTACCCAGTGTGAGCCTCAGCAAGACTCTGAGCAGCCTCAGGCTTCAAAGCACAAGGTCACACCCAAGATCAACCTCGATGCCCACTACAAGCATCAAGAAATCAACAAGGAGCATGGAAGGCTCCTCACACTTGCGTCACTAGGTGCATCGTCAACAGACAGGCAGCATGCAGCAGCCAGGGTCGTTGATACCACACATATCATCAAATGAGGCATCATTCAATACTCTCGCAATCGCACCCCGCCACTTGAATGCTACAAGCCCAGAAAAAATATCTCACCACCGGTGGTCACAAACCAGTGCCACCTCCAGAGCTCATCACATCCAATGCAGTACCTCCCCCCATCATCGCTCTCATCCCAGTTCAGCCCCTTCTGAACTTCATAAATACCAACATCGTTGCCCATCTCATTTGTCCACTCCCATCTGGAGTCAGGCCAATGATACACATCAAGATGCTCACCAAGCAGGTAGATGCTACCCACTTCAGGCTCCAGCCCATACTAGGAGCATTCATGTATCATCTCAGGGACGAACATCAGGGACCAATCTACAGTCTCGCCACAGAACTCGATAAGGTCTGCACTGATCTACATACTGGAATGTGCACCTACATGTTCATCGAGAAGCAGGTCATCAACACAGTCTGTCTGGAAATAGGAGGCATCAGCTTCAAGCAGATAGGGAAGGAAGAAAGGTTGCAGGAAATCGCCAAAGCTCTGGTCTTCATCACAAAGAAGCGATCTTTGAATTTTTTTCTACTAGTCTACATATATACCTCACAATGTCAGAATCTGGTCATGCACACATGTCCACTTTCACGCAAAGAATGCAGGATGTGCTTTGACCAGACATCGAGACAGTGCATGACGGAAGCACACTCCATGCTTCTAGACAGCCATCACCTGAGCTCAGCCCTCAGGACTCCACATCACAAATCAGAGGACCATCATCCCTGACTCCATCACTCTGCCCTGCCTACATACCTCTCACATGGTCGTATGATGGACACCAATATGAGCATCTTGAAGATGCCATAAGACAGTCTGCACTCAGCCAAATTTCCGATAACATTCGTGAATGGGTAATCATCGTCATGCAGTCTATGGTCGACAATGAGCTCAAGAAAATGTACAATGTGCTCGGCGACAAAATGTACGAGCACAAGAGAATTCTTGAGGCCTCCCTTGCATCTGCTCCAACTGAGCGATGACTCAAGGAGGTGGTACTCAAGTCCGAGAATGAGAAACTCTCAGATCTAATCAAGGCCCAGGACGCTCATGTAGTCATCCTCAACAACAAACTCACAGCAACACAGGGAGCAATGCTGGACATTGGCAAGAAAATGATGGAAATCAAGGCAGCAAACACCATGCTGCATCATGAGTTAGCTTCACTTAAAGCAAGTGGCGTCCCAACGGTGCAAGGTTACACCTCCAGAATGGTCCAATCGCACAAACTGCACATTAAGATAGCTGAACCTCCACACTACTCGGGCAAAGGAAGTCTGGAAGACTGGCTCCAACAACTTGGCATCTGGATGCAGTGGAATGAGATCAACGATGACGAACGAAAAATCACCATGGTCCTGCTACACTTAGAAGGTGGCGCATTCACCTACATGTCAGAATACACAATCAAGGCAGTGGCAAGGCAATCACTCAGCACCTGGGAAGACTTTGTCGACATTCTCAAAGTAAACTACAGGACAAGGATGTGCAGCAGCACTTGAAGGAGATCTGCTCAAAGACCTACCCCACTATGGTCTCCTTCACAGAGAAGTTCCACCAGTGGGCCACCAAGACCAACTTGGGGCATACTGCACTCATCGATTATATTGCTGAACATTGTGACAAGGATGTGCACCAAGCAATGGTGACCCGAGACAGCCTAGGCATCACTGACCTGACCACATGGCTAGAGTACCTCAACCTATGTTTGCAACTCAAGTCAAAGTTCAGAGCCGACAAGGCAGGACAGCACGGAATAACAACATCATCATCACAGGCACTGAAGCCCCAGAAAGATCCTAATGTCATGGACATGAACCATGCATCCCAACTTACAAGGGAACAGAAAGGATGGCTGAAGAAGAAGCTGTGCGTATGCTGTGAAAAACACCTCTTCATATTTAAACAGCACTGCCCAGACCTCAAGTACAAAGGCAAATTCGAAATGCCAAAGCGGGGTCAAGCGACAAGGGCAGTAATGACACCAGTGGCATCAACTAGTTCTGACAATAGCAAGGCAAGAGAGGAAGCTGTCCATGCATTTCTCACCAGCTACGACACAAAGGGTAGCGAGGCAGAACCAGAACCAACTGTCGAGGCAGCTAGGATCACGGAGGTGGAAAATGATGAGAATTTTCTTCAGTGGGTTCTCTGAGATCTGGCCAGAGTTCCCATAGATACTGTAATAGTACCTACTCACTCTCACATGTACCAGTATCAAGTTTTTTATACATAGCATCAACTGGTTCATCAAAACATGTGATCGATCTACCTGTTCACCTCAAACAGGAAGTAAGGGAAGTTCAGACTGAGGTGCTCCTTGACTCAGAAGCATATTCTTATTACATCAACTCACGGCTGGTTGATCAGTTGAATCTTGCTATGATCTCAATTGAGAAGGAGATCAGGGTTTATAATGCAGATGCATCTCACAGTAAGGGTGAAATCATTAAGAAAAGGGTTCTTCTCAGTATAACTATCAGAAATCACACAAGCAGACAAAGTCTTCTGGTTACTGATATAGGTCACAAAGACATTATACTAGGCATGAGTTTCCTCAAAGAACATAACCCAGAAGTGGATTGGGGAAAACTCACAGTCGATTTCACCCGATGCCCACAAAGATGCACACCCTCACAGGTAGCAGTCCAGGAGGAGGATCTGGAAGACACAAACATCCCCCACATCGAAGACTTAATGGAGTTCGTCAGTTCCCAGGAGTTAGGTGACAACTGGAACGACATGGACAGCTTCATTAAATGGGTGTCATTATCAAAAGACCCTGATGCACAAGCCGTAGCATCACTCATCATGGGTCTTGACACCAAGAGGAATCAGGATAGAGTGCCACAAAATGGAGAACAGGACAAGGACTACTGGTCAGCCTATGTCCCCAAACACTTCCACGAGTATGGTGATGTGTTCTCCAAGAAGCAGTCAGAATGAATGCCGACAAGAAAGCCCTATGATCATCCAATTGAACTTGTTTCAGAGGCATCGTTACCACACCCAGCAAAGTTATATTCTATGAGCCTACAGGAAAGAAATTCGCTCGACACATGGATAGACCAAGAGCTGGCCAAAGGATACATCAAGAGATAAAGGAGTCCAACAGCAGCACCCGTCTTCTTCGTCAAAAAGAAAGATGGGTCACTGAGGCTAGTACAAGACTACAGGAACCTCAATGCAGTAACAAAGAAGAACAAGTTCCCAATCCCATGCATTTCGGACCTCATTGACAGGCTCTCACATGCTAGCATATTCACAAAGCTTGACCTGAGGTGGGGGTTCAACAACATAAGGATCAGGGAAGGAGACAAAGAAAAATCCACCATACAGTCCTCGAAGACTTAGTTCGCGCTGGAAAGGTGGTAGTTTACCTAGATGACATCCTCATTTTTACGGACGATCTCGAAGAACACTGACGACTAGTAAAAGCAGTTCTACAGTGCCTCCGGGACAATGACTTATATGCCAAACTGGAGAAATGCTTCTTTGAACAGTCCTCAATCGAGTATCTTGACATGATCATCAGCAAGAACTCAGTACAGATGGACCCTGCTAAAGTCGAAGGCATCCTTGGCTGGCCAGCACCTACAAAGGTCAAACAAGTACAGGCCTTTTTAGGATTTGCAAATTTCTACAGGTGATTTATAAAGGACTTTGTGAAACTCGCATGACCATTAATGCTTCTCACCTGTAAGGACGTGCCCTGGCAATAGAAGGAAGAGCAAGACCAAGCCTTCAGTGCACTCAAAATGGTGTTTACCTCAGCCCCTGATCTTACAGCTCCCAAATGACACTGCACCATACCATCTAGAGACCGATTTTTCAGACTACGCAACTGGTGCAGTACTCGAACAACTGGGAGAGGACAAGCTATGGCATCCAGTCACATATCACTCAAAGTCACTCAACGAACATGAAAGGAACTATGAGATTTACGACAAAGAGATGCTTGCAATTATTTGGGCACTAGAAGAATACTGGCACTATTTAGAAGGACACCCAGAACCCATTGAAAATTTGGTCAGACCATCTCAACCTTATATACTTTCACCAGGCACAGAAGTTATCCCGGCGCCAAGCGTGTTGGTCATTATTCCTCACACATTTCAATTTTGTACTTAGTCACTGACCTGGAAAGACAATGCTACATGCTGATCCTCTGTCCAGGAGGCCAGACCATGAGAAGGGAGTAGACAATGACAATTCGAACCAAATGCTGTTAAAACCTGAATTTTTCACTATCAATGCGATTTGACCTGCTCACGCATCTGAAGTTGATGATGCTCAACTACTGGAAAGGATTAAGAAGGCACTCACAGACAACATGATGATCAAGGATTATCGTGCACTTTTGACTACAGGACAGCACAAATTTGGGAAAAACCTCGCAGAATGGAACTTTGAGCATGGACTGTTACTCCATCACAAAAAGGTTTACGTCCCCAAAGATCAACAGCTATGCCTCGACCTAATAAAACTTCATCATGACGCATTACCAGCCAGACACCCAGGCAGGTTCAAGACATTGGAGCTCATTACTTGGAACTATTGGTGGCCAGGAATGTCTGTAATAGTTAAACAATATGTACAAGGTTGCAACAGTTGTCAACGCAACAAGTACTCAAGGAAAAAACCATATGAACTATTACAACCCAATGATGTACCAGGAGGACCATGGGAGATCATCACAGTTGATCTTATCACACAACTTTCTCCAGCCATGGACTTTAGGGGAGAGAAGAAGACGGCAATACTTGTCATCGTAGACAGACTCAAGAAGCGAGTGCACTTTTATGCAACGGACAACACAGTCACCTCATCACAAGTCGCAAACGTATTCTATAATGAAGTCTTCAAACTCCACAGATTACCACACCAGATTATCTCAGACAGAGGTACTCAATTTGCGAGTAAACTATTTCAGGAGTTCTGTCAGAAGCTCAGTATAAAGTTTACAATGTCTACGGCATACCACCTCCAAACAGATGGTCAGACAGAAAGGGTTAACCAGGTGTTGGAACAGTACCTACACATGTACTGCAACCACAGACAAAATGATTGGGTCTATTACCTGCCAATGGCAGAATTTTCATACAACAACCAGACTCATAAGTCCACCGCACTCTCCCCATTCTTTGTCGAATATGGCTGACATCCAAAAATGGCACCAGACGTACACGAATCAATATGTCACCCTTCATTGGAACATTTATTCACCTGCCAATTCAAGGCACAAGAACAGGCAAAGGCAGCATTGAAAGTTTTAGATTCATGGATGAAATGGTACTTCGATGAGAAAAAGGGAGAAGTCCCATTCAAAGTCAGAGACCTAGTACTACTCAAGGGAAAAGATCTCAGAGTAAAAGTCAAATCTGTGAAGTTAGGCACACAAAACTTTAGACCTTACAAAGTACTTTAGAAGCTAGGCCCAGTCACATTCAGACTAGAGTTGCCCAAGCAAATGAAGGTCTTCCATGCTAGCAAGTTGATCATGTATCATCAAGACACGGTCAGAAAATGCAAACCCCCAAAGCCCTCAGCTATAGAAATTGAAGGAGAACCAGAATTTGAAGTTGAAGAGATACTAGACTCTAAGGTTGTGAGGGGAAGGGTCCAATACCTCATCAAATGGAAAGGCTATGACCATTCTGACGACACATGGGAACCCCGAACAAATCTCACCAACGCCGATGAGCTCCTGCAAGAATTTCACCAACAACACCCAAATGCAGCCAAAGCACCAATCAGGGTTGTCACTTATGGTGGAAAATGCTTCGAACTGTCCTCATACGAAGTTGCACTGATATCCACACACAGGATCAATATGTCCGACCACCCAGACGAGTTCTTCCTATATCATAAAATGATAGATAATGCCAAATCACTGAAAAAATCCTCAAATGAAGCAGCTGGATGGGATATTTATGCAGCAGAAATGCACGAAATCTCTCCACATTCATGAGCTGTGATAGGAACAGGAGTGGCCATTGACCCTCCCAAACACACCTACACATGAATAGCTCCATGCAGCGGACTGGCTGCTTGAGGAATTGACATGGACGCAGGAGTCATTGACCCAGATTACACCGGAGAACTCAAGGTCATTGTCATGGTTTTACCTGACAAGTCTATAAATGGGAACATATTATTGGAACACATTATTTTTCATCATTTCAAGTCGCACAAGTCACGTGACCTGATGGGAGATAAGATAACCAATCATCTAATCACAAGACCTCAGATCTCTCCCGGCATAGTCACGTGACACTGAGCTCCTCGGCATTGCGTCATATGTTGCAATTGCCATGACACCATATTACGTGCTCAAGAGGAGCTCCGTCTCCATGGGTTATTATTAGGCAGGCTAATCAGAATAATTGGGATAAGTCATACAATTGTAGCACCATCCAGTAGAATAGCGTGTGACCCTCTTATATAGTACTGTACAGTAGCTAGAAATTATGTATATAAGGACCAGCGAGAGGAGGAGAGATCCTCAGTCTTATTCTCCTTCATCTACCACTACTATCACAGAGGGGTCTTACCAGACACTCTCAGTGTGCTATACATTTCAATTCACTCTCATATCTGTGATAGCACCCCTTGCTTCACCAGTAAGTCTTACTCCACAACAAGCAAGTCAGCCTCATCAGTGGACACGTCATATCGTCACAGCTCATCGCTGTTGGCTTTTACCCAGAGACCTTCAAGGGGACTCTTTTTTTGGGTTGTCTATCTTTCTCATCGGCGTGCCGTGACATTAGAATAAGACTGACCTTTTATGCCCCAATCAAGTGTCTAACACTGGTTGCCATGCATTTTTGTCCAGAGATACATCTGCCCAGGGCAGGGCTATTTCCACACCACTTCCCTATACACTTCCTTTGCGTCTCTACTGCCTAAGCTGCTTCCTTCCTCCAAAAGGAACAGCACTGCACCTCAAACGATCAACGGTACTGTTCCACCCAATGGACGTTACCACCCCTATCAACGACAGCCGTGAGTCCATCGCTTGACTCAAGACAATCTCGTTCAGGCACAGCAGCTCGAAGACGGTCCCATTGGACATACAGCTGAACGCCACAAGCAAGAGTGTAAGGTTAGCCTCTGAATTGAAAGCATACCTAAAGAGACACCTAATCCATCTACTTCACTTCTACCTCCACACCCCTATGCCACCTTCTCCGCCATCGACATTATCAACTTCACACTCTCCAAGAGCTACCACCCTCGCAGTATCCACGAGAACCCCAAAGGGATGCTCCCGGAAAACATTGCCCTCACTGTATATGCTACCATTCAGCAATACAAGGTCTTACAGCAGCTGCATATCGCTGCCAAGTTCACCAAGGAGCAGATAAAGTGTCAAGACAGAATTCTTTGACACCTAGGAGAGATAAATGCATGCATTGGAGATGGACACGATTTCACCTTTGTCGATAGGTGCATCGCTATTAAGCTTTGCGTAGATCTAGGAAAGGTCTCTTTCAAAGGGATCAACAAGGAGCAGGCGAGAGTAGAAAAGAACTTAGTAAAGTTTGAGAAGGAGTCTTGTTACTGGCCCTACTAAGCCAGTCTTGTCATTTGTATCACTTGTATATGCCACGATATAGTTTTAACTTCATCTATTGAAACTACGTGGTTAACCACTACTTGGAGGACGACGAACTTCATGTCTCGTTCACCATATACTTCATCTATCAACCACTACTTGTCGGCTCACCCATCATTCTTCATTACAGCTCGCTCAATATTGAATGAGCATATATTCGATTTGTCCCCTTTCTTCTCTCCGACGCAGGCTACGACATTCACAATCCGGTCAGAGATTACGCAGAAGGACAAATCTGGGAGTTCTACGCTAGACTCTATCAAGAAGATGAAGAAAGATTTCAACAAGTGTGGAATGAAGATTTCCCCTTACAAGTGCATCCGAGACCCACAGCACTAGAACGAAGGAATCGACTTATCGAACAAGCCCTACTCCAGGAACAAGAACAACAACTCTATCAGGAGTTGACAGAAGAGGACCTTATCGCCAACAACACGGATCCCTTCTAAATTGTCATCAAACTCATTTCCTCTTTCTTCCACCTCGATTCCCATGTCTTAGTATAATCTTGGAGGCATCCTGTTTCCAGGAGGAACCACAAGGAGTGAGCCCGCAGACCCCTGAAGGAGTCAGGCCACTTTCCAATCATCAGAACCAGAAGCTGCTGCCCCTGGTTCAGAGCAACCCACAAGCAGCACACCAAAGGCATCAGGTGTAGTCAGAAACCCGTCGCCGTCAGTCTTACCAGAATATGCCACTCCCTCGATGTGGGAATGGGATGGCGTACCCTATGCCACTATTGAAGAGGCAGCCAACACGGCCGCACCAGCCACAGTCCCAGTAGACATCAAGGACTGGGTGATGAATGTGGTCCACTCATTCATCCTAAGAGATGTAGTAGGCTCCTATGAGGCTCTATGCCAAAAGATGAATGAAAGGCACGAATGAACAGCTGCCAGCATAGAGGAGGAGATACTGGCCCACATTCACATTGAGATAATGGTGGTGGAAACCCGAGAACAGTTAAAAACTGCAAGAGCACAGATCGGCACCCTCTTCACCGATGTTGAAAGACTCGCTAAAAGCAGTACTGCTCTGACACTCGAAGCCCAATCAATCCACAAGGACTTCAAAGATTACAAGGATGAGGTAAAGGGCCAGATGGATGCCCTTTACGCAAACATGGTCACCCTGAAGGAGGCTCAGGAGAAGACCACCACTTACATTGTCGGCTTGGAGTCTCGACTCAACAATGCCATCATCAATGCACCTCCCCAAGGTATCCAACAACCGGCCAGCCAATCCACCCAATCGCCCTGTAGAATTAAGCTCCCAGATCCTCCAAAGTACTCTGGAAGGAAATCGTTGGAAAACTTCAAAACCTGATTTATGAATCTTCAAATTTGGTTAGATTATAACAATTTCACCGATGACAAGAACAAAATTCAACAAGCCAATGCCCACCTTGAAGGAGGAGCTGCTCTATACATGAAAGAGTATGCAATCAAGCTCTCCTCTGGGCAACCCGTTGGCACATGAGCAGAATATACACGGAAACTGGAAATGGCTTACAAGATGCTTGACCCCAAGCATACAATCCAATCGCAACTGGATGTGCATTGCACAATTCACCACAAGACAATGATCACCTTTGCAGAAAACTTCAGGGCCTATGCACCTGAATCAGGATACTCTGATGAAGATTTAATCATCAAAATAAGGGAACAACGGTCGCCACACATTCAAACGGTGATGTCAGTCACAGAGACGCTGGATCCCACCAAGATTCCAATGGATTGGATGGATTACTGTTACGGTTTCAGCGCTTCATGGTCACGTGACAGTTTAGTTGCACGTGACACTTACTATTTATGGTTCATAGGTCTTGTGGACATATTCTAGGGTTAGCAGTTTTCGTTTTTACGATTTACTCACTCAGGCCATGCAAACAAGACCTTCGTATTTCAGGTTTCTATTTCACCTGTACTAACATTAGCTCGCCAACTACTTGGCTCGCAGCAGTTAGTATTTGTCTCAGTCTATTTCATTTACTCTATGAATAGCTGTAGGAGACCCCTTGTACTAGTACCCCAGACTATAGGTCTGCGACTATATAAAGGGGCGGAGCAGCAGCTGGAAGATAACCTCTTCCACCTGTGACTCTGAACGTTCTCAGTTCTAGAACCCTCGTGCAATCGTACTCGCTCTCAAGAGGTAGTAAGCTCGTACGCTTACTAGAGTCAGAACAGCGAACCTAGTAACCTGTGGGTGAACGTGCAGTAGCTGTAGCGGCCAAGGCCTAGCAAGGGTAGAGTGAGGACCTCACTGCTATATCGTCTACTAGGCTTGACCACACTATAAACCCTGCTAATAGTCTGCCTGACTATTAGAGACGTCAGGTACATTCGATACCTAAGTCTCCGTCCACGTTGTGGACTAGTACGTGTGAGAAAGCACACGTGGTTCTGAACATTCTAGCAGGGAACGCTTCATAACATTTGGAAGAGATTTTTCTATAGGTCAACCTGTTTAGGTTTAGAACCACTTACAAGAAGTGGAGTCTACTTGGACGCTACAGAAAAACAATTCCATCAAGTCCTCAAACAGGGGTATCCAATTCTAGGGAACTCGGTGCACGCTGCGGCCTCTGCACCACTTGGAAAAACAGGGAGAACCACTCTGAAGTATCCGTCGCTACGGTACTTCGCCCAAGGAGGGAAAAACAGGGAGAACCACTCTGAAGTAGCTGTCGCTACGGTACTTCGCCAGACAGGAGATTCTCGGAGAAGCGGAACCTGGGTACTTGTTGCGGCAAGGTACCTGCTGAAGGCAGTGTCGACTTGAGCCCCATCCTCACTGAAGGCACTGGGTATCCAGAAGATGCCGGTTAAGGGCCACCGAAAGAAGGCACCCAGACCTTGCCGAGGTCAGTTTTCAATCAAGAAAACGTGAATAGGAAGGACGATTGGTTATAGGACACCAAGCAGAGGAAATCAAAAAGCCAGAACGACCAAGCGCTCAAACGGGAGTAGGCAGGAGTTCGAAGTGACTAGCTGAGCACTTTAAAAAGTGAGCACAGGATATCTGAGGTCTAGAAAGGAAGACTAGGACTCCGACTGGTTGACGCTACCAGGCAAATCAAAAGGCGTACAAGATTGGTTAAGGGCCACCAAAGATCAAAAGGCAGGAGTGCGGAGTTTTTGTTACAGGAACGAACTCAAGCACTAGTGATTACTTGTGTGGTAATCCAGAAGAGAAGCCCTCATCTGAGGCACACGTTGAAGACGTGCTAAAGCCCTTCCCAGGGAAGGCAATCAAGAAATCTTAGGACAAGACAAGATCCAACACGAGTGCTTCACAGGAACACGATCAAGTATCTGAGGAAGATACACCAGAAACATGACCGGTGACTTCTGACGAAGAAGTACCACCATTTACGCTCAGTGACGCCACCACAGAGGAGTTAACAGACCTCTACGACAAAAAGTCGACAGAAGCGGTTCAACTTTGACTTCAATTTAGGCTAGGATGAGTCTATGAACCAACAGATCGCCCAAGGCTAGAGCAGCTCGAGGGTGAAATCGAAGAAATAAGACAAGTTCTTCACGGAAGGGAAAACTTTGATGAAGAATCTCTACGAATCTTTGACGAAGCAACAGAACTTCCACGAGGAGAATCAATCCAAGTTGAATGACAGGAAGGGCGTTCACAGGAAACCAGTGGATTACAGCCAGTTAATCCTCTCAGAACAAGAACAGTTCCGTTCGAGAGATCTATCTCGGATAGTACTACTCGACCAGATTATCCAGGAATCACACATCTCAGAAGGGACCAGCCACCCCACCTACCCAACATGCCTGGAATCACATGTTCGGTTTCAACTGGATCAAGACCAACTGGTAGCTTCCAGTTCTCAGGAAGTATGGCTACACATGCACGATACAACCCGGCTCTCGGACCACCAGTCCATCCCGGAACTTGTACCGATGCCATCTGGAATGAGTACCAACAAGCATTGGGACTCTATGCACAATACCAGGGAGCAATCCCCAAGCAGCCAGCAGCACGGGAAAAGAAGATGGGAAAAATCAAGAAGTTTAGAGGAGACAAACGAGAATATGCATCATTCCTCTGAAACGTGGAACGATACCTACAGGCAAACGATGGAGTCTACAGTGATGACTTCAGCAAAATTGCCTTCATCCTCTCTCAAATTGACTCCTCATCCATGGCAGGAAAGTGGGCCGAGTCATGGGAAGCCAACCAAATGGCAAAATATAGCAATCTTGGGACATACCAAGACTTTAAGACGACACTTACCGAAAAGTATGGAGGTGTCGCAACCAAGGACCAAGCCTGGCAAGTACTTCTCAAGGGAAAGCACAAGCAGGACAAGCAAACCGTCAATGAGTATATTGGAAATCTCGATATCCTCTACCGATATGCCGAAATCGACGACGAATACGCCAAGCTCATCCACTTCAAATGAGGCCTTAATGAGAAACTTGTAAAAAAAGTCTTCATCACGGAAAATCCACCAACGACCTATGCAGCAGCATGCAGGGCCGCAAGAAAGGTCACGGACCTCCAGGATATTCATAGCAGAAAGACAAATATCTTCAAGTTCATCTCAGGCTCTTCAGGAAGTGAAAGAAGGACGGAGAAGGACCCTGACGCAATGGACGTTGACCGGATCTCCCCAGAAACCCATCAGAAACGTTCTGTGGGTGGACTCTGCTACAACTGCAGAAAGTCAGGACATGTTGCCACACAATGCACAAGTCCAGAATATGATCCGGCACCAGATCGCTCAGGAAAGACAGCTTCATATGCCAAAACCAAGACATCCAATTCCAGGACAAAGAAATACTCCGGATCTGGCAAACGAAGAAAGACTTCCAAGCTGACTAAATCTTACTCCAAGAGAACGGAGAAGAAACGATGACGAGTAAAGAGGGTCGAGGAAAGCGATTCTGAGGATAACTCGGAGGAGTCAGAACAGGAAGAATCAGAATCTGAATCATCAGAATCTGAAGAAGTATCTGAACAAGAAACGGTTGTTCACAGGGTACGAAGAACTTGTCCTGTTAAAACCAAAACAGTTCAAAAAATCCGGAGAACCAAGGATGAATCCAGCGACTCAGAAGAAGAGTCATATGTGGTTCGAAAATTCATCCCCAAGGAAGAACTTGCCAGAATACGACGGGAAGATGCACTCAAAATGCGAGGAGACCGTATTAAGAAACGCAACATGACGATGCCCCATCTCGACGATCTTCTGGAATTCAGAGACAATCCAGATAGATATAAATATGCATGCCGATATCCACCACCCATGGAAAAAGACGATCCAGAGGGTTTTGGAATTGGGTGCACGTTGGGATCTCGTGGCACCCAGATAAAGAAACGGTCCTCGAGGAAGTAATCATACGAGGCGATATCAAATGAGGAAGCGAAATATACCTCAATATCGTCTTCCGAGATTACGATGGCACAAGAACCCGAAGTATTCCAGCAAGAGCCTTAGTCAATTCTGGAGCAAAAGGAATGTTCATCAATGAATCGTTTGTGAAGGAAGCAGGACTTCATCTTCTCAAATCGCAGAAGGAAGTCAAGATTCGCAGTGTCGATGGAAGTCCCATCAACTCTACAAACCAACGATTCAAAGGAACTGTTCAGGCAGGAACATACAAGTGGAATGATGACTTCCTTGTCATCGACTTAGGAAAAGAAGATGTGATCATTGGCAATACGTGGCTTCATGATCACAACCCAATTATCAATTGGCAAACAGGTGAAGTCAAGGTCCGTCAATATGTAGAAAACGTACCAGGCGAGGAACCATGGCCTTTCAAAAACAAAGACACTGTTCGTCTTCCAATCACCAAAAAGGAGAAAGCCAAAGCCAAGCAAACCTTGAGAAGGATTGACTGGTCTGATGTCGATCCCATACCGGATGAAGCAGGAACCGTTGATTCGGACCTCTTGCTTGCATACATAAAAGGCGCACCATACTTGGAGGATCAGGAAATAGGAGAAAAAGAAGCTATTTTCGCCTATCAACCTGATACTGGCATACTCCAAGAAGTTACACTCGAAGAAAAAGAACATCGCTCAGCCGGAGAAAGGAAGATGCAGTATCTTGCACTGCGATGAACGAATGCCAAGAAAGATCCCCATCAAACAAGAAAGAAAGATGGAATCTTATGGAAGGCATCAAACAAGGTGCAGGAACTCACGCAAAAGAAAGCACTCGAGGAGAAGAAGAATTCCAAGAAGAAAGTAACGATACCATCGTACCTTCTTAAGTACAAGCAGATTTTCGAAGAAAAGGCATCGGAACAGTTACCACCACATAGATCTTATGATCACAACATAGACTTCAAGCCGGACTTTGTTCCTAAACGAGGAAAGGTCTATAACCTATCAAAGCCAGAAGAAAAAGCTATGAATGCCTTTATCAACGAAAATCTTGCGAAAGGATATATTTGTCCTTCACAATCTGCAATGGCATCACCTTTCTTCTTTGTAGGAAAAAAGGACGGTGGGCTACGTCCATGTCAGGACTATCGCTATGCGAATGAAGGAACAATTAAGGATGCCTATCCACTCCCACTCATATCGGACCTAATGGATCGACTCCACCATGCCAAGTATTTCGCGAAGCTTGACATTCGTCGAGCATATACCAATGTCAGAATTTGTCAAGGAGACGAGTGGAAGGCTGCCTTCATCACAAAACATGGATTGTTCGAACCCACAGTCATGTTCTTCGGAATGTGCAATGCACCGGCAACCTTTCAGCGAATGATGAACGAAATATTCGCAGAAGAAATTGCCAAAGGATGGCTACTATGCTATCTGGACGACATCCTCATCCTTGGCGAAAGTGAACAGGAGTTGGAAAAGAAGCTTGAACAAGTCATTAAGAAGATGGTCGACAATGACCTCTATCTCAAGCTAGAGAAATGCGTGTTTAAACCTATGTGCACAGACTTTCTAGGACTGGTTCTCCTCCCAGGATGACTTCAGATGGATCCAGCAAAAGTCAATGGGATCATCAAATGGGAAGCTCTGACTGGTGTAAAAGGAGTGCGAGCATTTCTAGGATTCGCCAACTTCTATCGAAAGTTCATCCGGAACTATTCTGAAATTGCAAGACCCTTAATTTGTCACAGATTTTCACGTTTTCACCTCTGCACGTGACCAAGACATCATTTGACATCAGCGCTAGGCTGTTCAGAAAGGAACGAACCGGTACGCGAAGTACTAACAGTCCTAGACGCCACAAAGGTCCAGGTCTAGTCACGTGACATATCACGTGATATCCACACATGTGACAAGTAGCGCTGGTATTAGGTAAGCCTAACTTATACAGTAATATCATCCCACCTAGAAGCCACGGTCGGACTCCGGAAGAATCCAACGAAGGGGATACACGACACTGGAGATATGTCCTTAAGGGGATATTAGTTCACATGCACGAGGTAGATAGATACCATGCCACCGGAGATGTAGCCATTACAGGCAATACCATTCCCATGGTCTTACTAAGTAGTTCAGAGATTCGGCATACATGACACACGTAGTCTGACAGGTAGTGGTAACCAATCAGACAATGTCCATTAGCTAGCGGTTCTGGGGTATCAGGGTACCAAGGGTCCCTCCGCTCATGTATATAAGTCAGAGCTCTGAGACGCATAAGTCCCCCAGACTTATTCTCATCTCTGCTACGTCTATTCATATAGTGTCACCAGCGACCACTTGCAAGTCGCTGCTTTACCTTGATCATCTTTGTGTCCATCCTTACTTCGACAACAGTCAGTAAGTGTTTGATCCTAAGGTCATAGGCTTAGTCGGCGCTCTGCGTCCTAAGTTTGTGATAGAAGAATAAGTCTGCTTATCTTACCTGCCTCGAGTGCCTGCCCAGCGTACTCGCCGCAGTGTTGCGTCTTCGCACGTCCACCCGCATGTTAGCGGTGTCATATCTTCACCTGACGTTCTGTCAGTCGCCGACTCTACCAGCGTAAGCCGCACCAAGGCATTGTGCAGCATCGACGGTGTCATCCGTTGTCCTCGAGCAAGAACTCCAGAAGAGTTCTACGAGCAGCGGCCCATAAGACCCCTGCCAAGGCCAGGACACATCTCTACGGGAGGTCGGCCCCCTCGCGGCACTAGTTCAGTTTCTATTATCCAGACTCCCTCGGTCAGGCGACCAAGACTACCTGCAGGACCATCTGGTCCAGATCTCAATCAAGGGACATACGTCGAGACCGCTACCGGATCTCATTTCATCTATCCTCTCACCGTCTCCATCATCTCGACTCAGCGCGTCGAAGGCACCCTTCGACAAATTCGTATCCTACTCACTAAACGATACCGTCGTCAACTTGACGACCACGACATCTTCGATCTCGAGCATCTCATACTCAAGCTCGAATCCATCCGCACCAACATCGCGGAATTCAAGCTTTCCTTCGTTCACCAACACGTGGTTCGCGACTTCTGCAACTACGTCCAGGAAAGGAAGCATCAGGGTGGAGAAGCTCGCTGGATAATCAGAGATATTATCCAGAAGTATCGTCTAGGAATACAGGTCACAGGGCGACCTTTGCTGTAGATACGAATATTCACTTTGTATATGTCTTCATCGGGCGATTCGAACAATCTTGATAACTTCGAGCAATTAAATCCAATCGGTCACACTTTCGATTATCTTTGGGATTCAATTCCACGTGTTCTTCGAGACAGAGCAGGCGAAGCGTTTGCTACATACGAGGACACGTTCGACATCGACTACCACGACGTATATCACATATACGCCCTCCAAATCTATCCAGAATTCGATTGGAGGAACATCGTGGTTCATATCTGTTATATCCCTATTGGGTCCGAAGAACCCGAAGACCGTCTCACCGAAGCTTACAATAGCTTCGTCGATTGGCTCGAAGAAGTCGAGCGCATTTGCGAAATCCATCATAACCATCAGTGGCCCGCAGTCAGAGACAAGACCAGGTTTTTGTGGCAACCCTTCGTCAAGGTCATTCATCGAGACCTTTGCCTGCTGCGAAACCAACGCTCAGGATGAGTAATTGTCCGACAGGCCACGATTGCCAATAGGCATATTACCGAGTTCGAAGAACATCTTCGTGAGATAGAGGAAGAATTGTAAAGATGACGACTCCCACCCCCAATGATCCAAGCTTCTCTCGTGCTCCATCTCCGGAGCTTCTCGCATGTCTTAATATTGTTTTGCAACCCCCGAATCCTATCATTCGTCAAGCTCTTGCCGACACAGCGCCCCCAAATGCGAATATACCCGAAAATGTGAAGAACTGGGTAGTTGATCTGGTCACAAACGTGGTGGAAGAGATGTGTCAACAAACGGTGGTGCATTACGAAAATCTTATCCAGCGCCAAGCGCATACAATGGAACGTAACACCACGGAGTTCCACAATCGAACGGTCTTCTTGGACCAACATCGCCAACAATCTGAGTCTAGAATTGCAGACTTGGAAAAAACCTCGGCAGCTTTAGCTGAGGATAACAAAGCCATTAATGACTCATTTGTGGCATTTGACGATGAGGTCAAGGATCTCCAAACCAGGATGGAAGACCTGAAGAAATCACACGATCGACTTCGCGCATGGGCATCTACACAGGGAAGAAAGGCAGGGCAAGGCAGTAACAATGTCGACGACACGGACGACGACGATGAGCCGTCGTTTGGTCGCAAGGGTAAAGGCGTAAAAATTGACCAACCAGAAAAATATGGTGGCAATAAGGACGGAGTCAATCTCGATGATTGGCTCGAACAAGTAATGCTCTGGTTGAAATATACCAGACATACCAAAGACGAGTCCAAAATTATGTCTACCCTCTTGCTCCTGAAAGGAGGAGCACGCGAATACATGCAGCATTGAATCACCGAAATAAACGAAAACAACAAGGCACCCGGAACTTGGGCGGAGTTCTTCTCAGAACTTCGCACGGCATACGAATCATTGGACAAGGATGACAAGAAGCGAACGGAGTTAGAAGCCTTCGTCAAGAAGGATCATCGAGACTTCCGGAAGTTCGCAGAAGACTTCCGTCCAAAGGCAACAGGTACAGGCTTCTCGGATCAAGATTTGATCGAAAAGATCAAGAAACATATTCCGGAGAAAACGTGGCTGCTCATGCTGGCAGACACGACCAAGGACAACTGGCCCAAGAAGTGGACCGAGTTCCTTACATTTGCACTTCGGATATTTACATCATTACAACGAGAAGGCCACCATGCCAAGGCCGAAACCAAGGATCCGAATGCTATGGAGGTTGATGCAGTCGGGAAGAAGGGAAAAAGTAAATCGGGCAAAGCGCGAAGCGTGCAGGACGACAAGTTGGTTTGTGCCAACTGCAAAAAGAACAAGCCAACGTTCTTCAAATCGTCGAAACGCTTCAGCAAGTATTGCACCGATTGTTTCAAATTGGACCATGTCAAGAAGCAGATTGAGAAGGAGAAGGAGACAGCCACGAAGAAGAAGGATGGGAAGAAAAAGGACGACGCCAGGAACAAATCCAAGTCGTCCAAAATGAGACAAGTAGCATCGGATTCTGCTTCATTCGATAGCGAAATGGACACGGACAGTGGCCCCGACATCAAGAAGCACAAGAGCTCTTCCTCTAAGACTAAGGGGAAGGGGAAGGAGACAGCTGCGCATATCAGCGACTGCAGCATCCACTCGGAAAGCAAGCCTGATGCATCTGAGTCGGACGAAGATTTCGCCGCGATCCTCTCAAGGCTCAGGTGCCTGAGGGCGAATGGATCCAGTTCATCAAGGAAGGCGGGAGAAGGTTCTTCAAGGAAGGATCGGAAGGGTTTTCTCAAAGGGGATCTGTAGGCAGCTCGTCAGAGTCCCCAGAACATTACAATATAAGACCTGTACATCTAGCACCCGAATCAGACACCTCTGTAGATCGTCGCAACGCAGAGGATGATAATGTAACAATAAAGAATTCGTCTCCAAATTTATCATCATTCTATTTACCAGTTACATTATGGGTGTACGGCAAAAAATCGAGTGCCGAAGCTCTAGTCGACTCAGGAGCATATTCCATGTACATCAGCAAGCGATTCGTAAAGAACAATCGAATCGCAACCTCCAAGCTAAACACTACATACAAAGTGTACAATGCTGACGGATCCCAAAATAAACATGGTGAAATAACCGACTATGTAAAAGCATACCTCAAAGTCGGAGATCATGGTTCTACCCACTGTCTGCTAGTCACGGACATCGGGAAGTTAGACATGATCATTGGGATGTCATACTTACATCAGCATAACCCAGAAATCAACTGGCAAGCTGGAGAATGGAAATACTCACGATGCCCGAGTACGTGTCACCACCAGAGGCTTCGTAAAAAACAACAAGCCATTGCGAGAGAGGAAGCTGAAGAAATCTCGCAACGAGCACAACAAGTGGCAGATGAGGAGCCAACTGCAT